TGCATTTTAATACACCAATAATGAACTATCAGAAAGAGAAACTAAGAAAACTATCCCATTTGCAATTGCATTAAAAAGCCCCCACCTAGGAATAAATTTAACCAAGAATGTGAAAGACCGGTATTCAGAAAAGTGTAAGACACTGAAGAAAGAAATTGAAGAAAATACAAATAAATGGAAGCATGTACCATGTTCATGAATATAAATAATTAATATCATTAAAATGTCCATACTACCCAAAGCAATCTATAGATTCAATACAATTCCTATTAAGATACCAATGGCGTATTTCACTGAACTAGAACAAATATTCCAAAAATTTATGTGGAATCAAAAAAGACCCCAAACAGCAATCTTGAAAAGAAGAACAATATTGGAGGAATCATGCTACCTGATATCAAACTCTACTTCAAGGCCATAACAATTCCACTTCTGGGAATATATCTGAAGAAACCCAAAACACTGATTTCAAAGAATATATGCGCCTCTATGTTCATTTCAGTGTTATTTACAATAGCCAAGATTTGGAAGTAGCCCAAGTGCCCATCAGTATAAACATTCAGGTAAGTTTGTGAATAGAACAATTGTGATACATTTACACAATGGACTATTAGTCATAAAAGTAAAAATAAAAAGGAAATCTTACCTTTTTTGACAGCATGGATGGACCTGGAGATTATTATGCTAAGTGAAATAAACCAGTCAGAAAAAGACAAATACATGATTTCACTCATATGTGGAACCTAATGAACAAAATAAATTAACAAACAAAAATAGAAACAGACTGATAGATACAGATAACTGAAACTGACAGCTGCCAGAGGGGAGCGGGGTGGAGGTCTGGGTGAAAAAGGTGAAGGGATTAAGCAAAGAAAAAAAACCTCACAGAAACAGACAACAATATATTGGTTACCAGAGGGAAAAGGGTGTGGGGGAGGTAGAAGAGGGTAAAGAGGGAATAAATGGTGATGGAAGGAGACTTTTTAAAAAAATCAGGTGCCTATACTTATGTATAAGGATTTCTGGTACCAAGAATTAACCAATCAGATGCAAGCTTATTATGTAACATGACCAAGAAGATCCAATTCTATTATATGACCTATATATTTCTGGGGTCAAGACAGGGCATTCACACCAGATGGCTATGGTTGTGTTGGCTGTTGTCATTTTTATTTCACATTCTAAGGGAGAAGAGGTCAGTGCCCATCATTAAATAGTCAGATATTGCATGGTTTAAAAATTCTTACAGCACACTGGTTGAAAATTGCTAACTTAGAAGAATCATGTAAACATATAATTACCATGTACTATTTTGAAGGACTGAATTGTGTTCTCCCACAATTCACTTATTGAGTTCCTAACCCCCAATTCCTCAGAATGTGACTGTATTTGGAGCTAGGGCCTTTAAAAAGGTGATTAAGTTGAAATGAGGCGACCAGGGCAGGCTTTAATCCAATCTGACTGGTGTCCTCGTAAGAAGAGGAATTTTGGATGCACGAAGAGACACCAGGGGCATGTGTGCACAGAAGGATGACCATGTGAAGAAGCCAGGATGCTAATATTTTTCCCATCACAAAATGTATACGTTAATCAGTATAAAGTATATAAACATGCAGGCAAGCTTGTGGAGACGCTGACCAAGATACTTACACTAAGAGACATACACCCATCTAAATTTTCTATTTACTTTTTTTTTTTTTTTACAGAATAGTTAGTAAAGTTGTTTAATGGAGAATTTTTTAATTTGTTATTTTGGAAGTTCTTTATTGTAAAGACAATTCTTTTGTTGATGACTCAGCAGTCAGTGATAATTCTGGAACCGCACCATGGTGTGCAGGAATGGCACATTTAATGGAATGAACAGGAGGGTTAAATGCTTGGCTTTCTTATTTGCTGTGTTTCTTTCTTTGAGCTTTCTCCACTGAGATTCACAATCTCTTGACTTCTCCCGTCCATCTCCCGTGCAACTATGGGAGGCAACCTTCCCTAGAAGGTCCCAGGAAAAAGAAACGAAAAATATCCCTTAGTCTGATTTTGGCGAGTTCCTTGGCTCTACTCATAGTGTAAGCAGAAGGTGTCCTAGCTCAAGAGGAACCTATATTTTTGTCTTAAGTTTTTATACCTCTGTGCAAACTTACGGGGTGGCCAGCAGTTAGTTGAGAGGCTTGGTTGCCGGCTTAATCTCATCTGTACATCACTTGCAAGTATGACTTGAAAGTTCCAAGAAAGAGAGACTAATCCTAGTAGAAGGTAATCCTGCTACTGGGTACAGGCTGATGTGAAGGATGGGAGGACCAACCAAATGGGAACCAGCAGATGCAGCCAAGGCGGATCATGGCCAGGATAAAGGTTGAGGTGGTAGAATGGGCGGGAGGAGCTCATCCCGAAACCACCGTGAAGAATTTCCAAATTCCCAGGCTGCTCCTCTGAGAATAGAGAATTGGAAACAGACTTTTGGCAGAGGACGGTGATTGGGAAACTACAATCATCCCGACCAGTTAGTTCTATGTCCTACCGCTGCTCCAGCTTGGCAGCGAGCTTTCTGACTCAGTGGAGCCGTGATTACACATTGAGAACTTGGCCTCAGCTTGTCCCCTCCCCGGACCCCTGGACTGCTGCAGTTAATCAGCACACTGGTCATCAAGGATCGCTTGACATTTTGAAAATGTGTTTTAGATACCTGGGCAATATGTTGATACACTGATACATTCTTTCCGTGTCCCTACAGAGTGGGAATAAGCCGGGGCCAACGGGATATGTCAGGCACCACCTCCACACATGGAACCGCTTTATTCAGGAGCCAGGGCCAGAGTCCAACGAGTCTCTGTCCTGCTGTCTGACATGCAGGCGGAGGAAACTGGAAATATTAGGAGATCAACTTACATGGATTCCAAGATTGAAAATCAGGTACGTTGGGAGCCTGAAACCCAGGAGAATGAGAACCAAGTGGCCTAGTGCACAAGGGTAGCCTCCTAGCACCAGAAAGTCATGCTAAAGCCTTTCTCTTTGACCCATTGTCCCCCGAAGGATGCCTGGAAAGAAAGAAATTGCCCCACTAGGTCAAAGGGTATTATTATCATTAGGAACATTATTAGGGTGGCTAGAGCACAGGGCTTCTTCTTGAGACAAATAACACCCTTCCCCTAACACACAACACACACAATCTATGGGCATATTATGACTCTGTGAAAATCAAGCAAAAATGGATCCAAGTCTTAAAGAGAAAAACAAGTCTTAACAGGAGAAGAAGATCAAAGAATAGGCCCTCTTTACCAATTTTTCCTTGTAACTCGTGAGTAGGGAGCTTCTGTGTGAGCTGAATGAATGTAAGATCATGGGAATTTTTTTTCCAAAGGCAACTGGTGGAGTCCGCCTTTTTCTCATTCACATGACTTCCTACCAGGATCCACCCTCCCGGTTCCCCGTCAACGCCAATGATACCTTCTTATTCCCCACCCACCCAAAGCAACAAAACACAGGAAATGCACGAATACATATTGTCTGTAGTTGCTTTTGTGCTAAATCGGCAGAGTTGAGTTGTAACAAGAGAAACCATGCAGGAAAAGTTTGCTGACCACCAGTGCAGATCATACTTCTTCTATTAACATTAGGTTAATTACTTATACTGTGTTGTAGGTAGACTTTATCTGACATGTAAGGGATTGTATATATTTGAGTCTAGTATTACTGATTAGATTTCTCATTTTACCCTTTGGTTTCCTCCCTTTGGAGATGTTTCCTTTGCTGCTAGTCATTCCTCCGTGGTCTTTGGAATTTGCAGGCTCCAAGGACTGTAGTTGTCACACACAGGACATGGGCTTCCTCCCTACAGCTTTGCTTGATGTTGTGGAGGGCTTCAACACCCTGTTCTGTCATCCTAAGGGAACAGACAGGCTTGATGACTGGTATCATTGCCTCTCTCTGCTCAACCACTAGGGTATTTAAAGACAGTTTTGTCAAAGGTACTTGGTTACAGTCAAGATCCTGGCTGGATCTTCTGGCTTCACATAGGACTATCCAAACCAAATAGTATAGTAACCATAAGTCTATTCCTACCAATGACTGTTTAGTACATGGCTGGTCACTCTGTGCTTGCAGGACACCGGACAAAGGAAATGAGAACAATTAATGTGGTTTAATTTTAGAAAGCTCAATAATCAGGGTCATGTGCCAATGGGACATGTCAGCCACCACCTGGAACTGTTTACCAAATAGGCTGTAAGTGTCCTTTCCAAGGCCTGAGGAGTCACACAGATGTCTTGACTGTTTAAACCAGCATTTTTCCAAGTGTTCCGTGAGATGTTACGATATATTGGGGGAAATTTTGACTCGAACAAATGAAATCTATTTTCTACTGAGGTGCTACGACCCTTCAGTGTCGGTATTAAATATTTAATAGGAAGACATATTCTACAAAGTTTCCAAACTTGTTTGACCATGGAGCCCGTTGACTCAAGCTATCTTCATTGAACTCATGTTCTCCAGAATATTCTTTGGCAAACGCTGAGTTAGGCAATCACCTGCCGACTGCAGACTAGATGATTTTTCCAAGTTTCTTTGAATAACGTGATTGATTCTAGGTAAAAAAATCCTTCAATCACAGGCCATGATTAGGCCTTCACTAGTTTATTACCTATTATAGGCAGGTGATGGATTTACTTGAGATAAGATATAAAGAAGCTATTTAGGTAAGTGAGAAAACTGTTAGGCAATGGAGATAACATTTGATGTGGAGTCATAAGAGGTAGAAGTTATGACATTTCTGCCACTAATTGGCTGTGCTGTCTTAAGGAAGTTACATATGTTATGAGTCCCAGGATCTTGACCTATAAAATGTGAATAACAATACAGCATTACCTATCTCAAGAGCTGCTGTGGTGATGAAATCATGACACATATCCCATACCCACATATGTATGTGGATGTGGCTATACACTTTATTACCTGTTATAGCTGCGAGAAAACAAATTTCAGGTTTTCAAAAAAGTTAAGACAAAGGATGTGAAAATTTTATTTTAGCTGGTTTTCCTGTAACATTATATTTTTATAAAATAATTTTATAAAAGAGTTCATCAAGATATTCCATAGAAAATACACACTAAGGTAATATATGTACACTTCATAAAAATAGAATACATCTTGGCAATTGCTTCCAGAGTCTGTTACCACCATGTACAGTGTATTGACGTTGAACATTTATGCTAATTTAACATATGAGATTTTTCAAGAAAAACAAAGAAAACCGTCCCATTGATACTTTAAAAAATTGTTTCCAATTGGTAGGAAGGTAAAAACAATTCTGGAATGTGAAAATGAAGGAGCTAATGGCAGATTATATCAAAATATATGAACAAAGATCTATGCCATCAACAATTATCTGAGGACAAAGTAATATTTTTTTTCTATGATCATAAATGGTTCACTGAAAGTAATATCCTTATTTTGGGTGTTCAAAGTGAGCACCATTTGGGATCATCATAACCTTCTAGAAGCTGTACTATATTTCTAAAACAAGTGGTGTTTCTTTTTTTTTCCCTTAAAGTGAAAAGAGGTGTCTAAGTCCTATATATAATAAAGTATCAATACTTTTTTTAAAAAAGCATCTTCATAAGTTACTTAAGCTTTGCTCAAAAAACATAGCAACCAGTTTTATTACTTTAAAAATGGCCAAATGCTCAAAAATCTACTTGGCTTTGAATTATTATTATAGTTTATTGTATATTTTTAAGGAAAAAGATCTTAGCTACTATGCCACCATAAAACATCACTGATGTGTCCCTGTTCGATGTTCAGAGATAATCTTTGGAAAGTAACTGTTCCAGTGTAATAAATAAAAGAAAAGGATACAGGGCTTTTCTAGACCTTAAGGAAAAGATGTGGCCATGGTGGGATCCTGAAATACCTCAGCAGTACCAAGGAAGACACACAAGACAGAGCCTAGCACCATTTTCAAGTTGCCAAGGTTGCAACCGTTCAGGAGATGGTAACCTGGAAGCGAACGTGATTCCCATGATTAATGCAGTTTAAATATGTGGGTTTGGCTTTGGCGAGCTTCTCAGTACGGATAGGCAGACACGGCTATATACACTATGAATGTGGTCTGATATTCAATGGTCCCATTGGCACTGTAGGATAAGGCTCGGACCCTCATGCGGTAGGTCTCTGGTTCTCGGAGGGGTCGTGTGGTATACACGACTCCTTTCAAGTTTTCAACCCTCAAGGCAAAAGGAACGGTCTGTTCCTCGTCTACCATGAGAAACGTGGTCCTGGGATGCATCACTCCATCCTGCGTGTATGCAACCAGCCGGATTAAATCTTGATTGGCGGCTATTCCAAAAGGGAGGGAGACAAGTTTGTATTCCAACGCATATGGGCTCGAGGCACATTCCAAATCATTGGGCGGACAGTTCTTGAGGCAGAACCTGAGGACGACAAACACATGAAGTGCATATAGCTTCCTGGCTTGGAGGAAGACACGATGCAGGTGATGCTGATCCATGACAGCTCTCAGGCCTAAAAGGCAGGAGACAGCCTGCCTGCGAGAGCAGAAAGGCTCACCCCACGTTCAGGGCTGCTAACTCAAACCAGATGCCCGATGGCTATGACAGCATGCTGGTCTAGAGTCAAATAGCAATCGCTCAGCTCCATGCAAGTCAGAAGCTTTTGAACCACGGAAGTAAGGATGAGTACCACCAGAGAAACTTCAAAAAGTCAGTTTTGGAAATGGAAGCATCTGTAAGTCTACTGGAAACAGTACTTCTTTTTTTAAAAAATATATTTTATTGATTTTTTTACAGAGAGGAAGGGAGAGGGATAGAGAGTTAGACACATCAACGAGAGAGAAACATCGATCAGCTGCCTCCTGCACACCCCTCACTGGGTATGTGCCTGCAACCAAGGTACATGCCCTTGACCGGAATCGAACCTGGGACCCTTGAGTCTGCAGGCCGATGCTCTATCCACCGAGCCAAACCGGTCAGGGCGAAACAGTGCTTCTTAAAGAAGGGAATGCAGGCTTTTAAAAATGTTAACAACTACCATAACACTGTTTGCCAGCTGAAGTAGATATTGATAATATTTGGTTTGTTTTTTGAAAAAAATGAAAGGTTAAAGTAGGATTCCGGGGGCGGAGGTGGGGGTGAAGGGGGAACCCTTCCTTTTGTATTTGTCAGCCACATTATTTTAGATGAGAAACTGTACTTTCTTTTTCGCAAGCCCACCTTCACTGCTTTTGAGTCATCATGACTTTTGAATTGTCTGTCAGAAATCATTGGTAATAGAGTAAACTTAAAAAAATGCACAAAAGATCATTTTCTGAAGATATGTATAGATTCCTCAGTCATAGTATTTGTAGACATTTCAGAAGTCTATATTTTTAATTCCTCCTTTTCTTATTCCCCTTAGACCAGTTATGAGGAGTGTCTAGGAGTGGATCCTGGGCAGGGCACACTTAGTTGGTAGCCACTGCTGATCGGAAAAGCAGAGTTTGAGCTCCGACCAGCATCTGGTTTCAGATCTACCTTCTTACTAGCAGGTCCTATTCAGGAGGAGCATTACCTCTGATTTCGAGCACCCCAGTGACTCGGAACCTGAACAGAGTAGAACATTTCTGTAAGGAGAGGGAGTCAATAGAAGAGTAGTTTATTCAGAACCCAGAAAGGACAGTGTTTCAGACAGCAGGAAATGTATGAACGGGCAGACTACTGACTCACACTTGCTCATCTCCATTCTCTCATGAAGTCGCCATGAGTCATCGTAGTAAGAGCCAAGGTACTTCTTGGAACACTCTAAGTGCTCAGAGACCTCCAAGCTCTGAGGCAACACAAACGGACACTTAGAAAACTTCACGGGAAGGCAGACACCCCATAAAATCCTCATGGCTGAGGCAGAATTCTAGATGTTGCATGGAGGATTCCATGTTGGGGAGACGGTTCCAGGAAACCTTGGCGGCCCTGAGGGATAGATTAGGTCGCCGTGGGGACCGCAGGATGAGTTCATTTCTTGCCCATTCATTGAAGGAACACACTGTTACCCCAAATCCCCTTGGATTATGACTTCCTGTGAGTTCAACACGACTAGAGACAGAGTTTGTGGCCAAGGAGAGAGAGGAAGGATGTTCAAGAACACGTCTGGGAAGAGAAGGCAAGACTTACCCTGTGTCAGGATCCCGTTGGTAGTCGGGTGGGCAAGGCGTATCGATGCACTGGTAGCTTCCTCTCATGTTGAAGCACATGCGATTCTGCCCACAGCGCACATTCTGCTCCAGACACTCATCAATATCTAGCAACAGCACAAGGAACATGCAGAGTCAGCAACACAGTCAGAGCAGGCCACAGAGCGGGGGTGGACATCTGACTGGCATGTCGAGGGTTAGTCTTCTCCTCCCCATGAGTGAACTTGGTTGCTGTACCTAAGCTTCCTCAGTCACCAAATGGGGATCTTGATACCTGATGTGCTGTTTCCCAGATTGCTTTGCGGATAAGTTTCTGTGTGTTGTTTTTTCAACGTATGTGAGAGGACATAGGAAAAAAAGCACAATAAAAGTAGAGGGGGAGCTATCAAGATCTCTCTGGTGTTGTTTTATCTTGGGGATATAGAGTGCATTTGAGTTTTATAAAGCAAATCATACTTTAAATTCACTCTTAAAAAAAAAACTAAAAATTTAAAGGACATTTGTGAACTTTGAGTGAGCCTTCCCCAGGATTTTGTTTTATAAGTTCCAACTGTGCTTCCTGCTACTAGATTTCTCTCAGGACTAGTTTTCCCACAGGAATGGAACACTCGGTGAAACAAGTTTTTATTTCAGTTAAGTCTCGCCTGTTGCCTCTGTGAACCAATTTCTAATTATGATTCTATCTGCCAGACGTGCTACATCTCCTTGACAAAATGAGACGGCCTCCAATTAGAGAGAAAAGCCCTCCAGGAGAATGCGAAATTCAATTAGCCTTTTCTTCTTTGCTGTCATAAAACACATTCCTCCACATCTTAGCTGTAATTTTTACAGTGAACTCATGCAGAAACATAGAGGTCTGGAGACCCACACCTGGACACGCATCTGTGTGCATAGAAACAGCTACCTTAGCACATATTTTCATTAGCTAAATATGAATCTATAAAGGAACGTCAGAACCTGATAGACAAAGTGTTTGTCCTTAGCTTCATAATAACGTAACACTTCCCATAGAAAAGCGTTCATACGCATTCGAGCTCTGGGCAGGGGACTGCCTTCATCTTCTGTCTATATTCTTCTTTCCTCAGGATTAGGCACCCTACAGACATCCACTCTACTCTCTCTGCTCATCTTTCTAGTCAATGGCCTTAAAAAAAATGCCAAGAAATAGGAGAAATCATGCTATCTTCTGTTAATTGACAATGTGGTGATGCTAGTTTTTATTAGGATAAAAATTACAGTCATTTTATAACATAAACATTATTGCTACAAGAAAAAGATACCAAGATGAGGTAAAAAAGCCCCACACTTTTCTATAATTAGCTGTAGAGCATATGAATGCATTTAACCAAGTGCTTCTGGATACATTAAATATAATTTAGAATGAACATACTTGAAATATTTATTTTACAGAATTCTGATTCTTAATAAATAGAATGGAGGACTTTGAAAACCTGGATAGCTTAGAATGCTCATTTCAAATGCAATACCAATATAGTGTTTTTAAATTTTTAGATTAGTGGTGCTTAAAATTCACATAAAGATTAAAAAATATTTTTATTGATTGTTATCAGGGCATCCATAATTCAAATTAGCAAATTTTTCCCAGCTGTTCTTAGCTGAGACTATTCTTGGCAGCTGTCAAGGGAATGAAGATATCCAAATTGTCCCTAGATTGTTTACCCCGTAAACTATGAGAAGCTGAAATACAGCTTCATTGAAGGGAACATAATTTACATGGCTATGCTAGCAAAATTCTTAAAAGGCAAATAGGTCATAGGTCGAAGCTCAACCACTGAGCCACACCAGTTGGGCAAGATTTTTTGTTTGTTTCTCTTCTTCTCTTCTTGGGCAAGTCATGATTGGGGGTGTGTTTTGTTTGCATTTCGCATCCTCGTGACTTCTACTTTTCACTAGAGTTTCTGTCCTTGTTCCCAAGATTTTTTTTTGTTTCTCTTCTCCTCTTCTTGGGCAAATCATGATTGGGTGTGTTTTGTTTGCATTTTGCATCCTCGTGCCTTCTACTTTTCACTAGAGTTTCTGTCCTTGTTCAATATCAAATTCACTCTAGTTTCCCTTTTAGCACTGATATTTCCACCACGAATGCATAAAGCTTTGAAATGCACATGTGAATGAAAAGTAGTCTTTGGTTCCTTGTAAATGCTTCAAACACTTCCGAAAGCTACACAAAGCCTCCGAGTTAGTCTTCTGAATACAGACTTCTGTAAAGGGCGTAATTGTTTTCTCTCGTGTCTTTTTTAAAACCACAATATATGCAACCCATTTAAATTGCAAACATTTCAAATAGCACCTGTTTCTGATTTCCTCACGTTATTTCCACTCTCCGAAGCTCAGCTGAAAGCTGAAAAATGTTTTACACTGAATGAGTGACAAGGGCAGTCGAAAAAAATTGGAATAATTAAGAAAAGAAGAAAGGGAGAATATGATATACGATAACCCTTAAAAATCTGGCTGAGGGGCTTAGCAGACCAGTTGGTTATTCAAAATGCTTCAGTGTCTACCCTGCTTCCTTCTGAAGTGCCTGGTGCACCTCTAGGGAGTGTGGTGTTAGAGTTGGGCATTGCCACCCATTCAGAAGGACTCCTGGGTTGAAGATCTGGGGACAAGTTGTAAAACAGGGACAATGTAAGTGCTCTCACCTCACCCAGCTGCCACAGTACCATAACCCTGGTGTTATCTGAATCATAAGGGAGACAAAGGACTATTCTAGACATTATGAGATCTGTGATCAAGTCCTACTCTTGCTCTTGACTGTTCCAGGACACTGACACTCCCATAATCACTCTGAGAGTCAGTTTTATTATCTTTAGAATGGGTATAAATGATAGCCCTCGACAAATCTGCACTGCTGATAAAAACGGGATAATAGTTGTTCTGGAAAAACATAAAACTAAAAGGCAAAATACTGTTTGAACTTCCAGTTCTTCAAATCTCAGTAAAATGTTCTGAATAGGGTAAGTTCTCAATAAACATTTGGTGACAAAAGGTTGTGTTCACTTTCCGCCTCCAGCCCCCATGATCCAGTGGGGCTCTCAGGGAGTGTGAATGAGTGAATGGGCGAGGGAGAGGTGGGGACGGTCATGGTAACTCAGGTAAAGCCATTTTCCATCCTGAGACACATTTTCTGCGAGCTACATCCTAGCAAGTCTTTTGTGAATTTCACAGAGAGGGAAAATTCAATCCAAATTCAATTGCTACTGATTAAGCACTCTTTCGCAGATTATATTTGCTGTACTTTAGAAAGGATACACTTTGCACATGACAGAAATTAATAAAATTTAGATATTAATGAATACATAATTAATAAAATTAAGATCTTGCCCACAAAATTGAGCAAGTTTCTTAGATTTTTAAGACTTATACAAGTTCTTATTTCTTTTTAATATATACATTGCAATCTAATACGCCTTATCAAAGTACAATGCCCCTTTCACATTTTTGTGTAAAAAGGGTACTGTTGAGATTGATATTTTTTGTTTTTCTTTAAAAAAATATTATTGATTTCAGAGAGGAAAGGAGAAGGAGAGAGAGAATCATTGATTGGCTGTCTCCTACACACCCCTAATGGGGATTGAGCCCCAAACCTGGGCATGTGCCCTGATCAGGAATCCAACCATGACCTCCTGGTTCAAGGGTCGACACTCAACCACTGAACCACACTGGCCAGGCAAGATTGATATTGTTTTTCTTTCTTCCTTCACTATACATTGTCCAAAGCTATGTTATAGCACATATAACTTTGAACGCTGGTTGTGTTCTTTTGTGGCTGGCTGTCTCCACCAGAATCTAAGATTTTGAAGGAAAGAAACTGCATATTATTATTATTATTGATTTCAGAGAGGAAAGGAGAAGGAGAGATAGAAATCAATGATGAGAGAGAATCATTGATCGGCAGCCTCTTGCATGCTCGCACCTGGGGATTGAGCCTGCAACCAGAGCATATGCCCTGACCGATAATTGAACCATGACCTCCATCCTGGTTCATAGGTCGATGCTTAACTTGAGCCACGCTGGCCGGGTAGAAATTGCATATGATTCATTTGTTTGAACTTTTTGTTTCCTGCAATGCTAGAACATAATCTGTTCTACATCATCTGTAGACTCAAATAATGAATGGATTATTTCATCAATTTACCCACTGATCTCCAAGCCAAAGTCCCAAATAATGCTTAACACGGAAGTAAATCTACAGAGCGCTCTTCCCACTTCCCCTTCCATCATGGCTGGACTGTGAAGAAAGGTTTTAAGAGCTCTACCCCCATCCAGTTTTAAAAATGTATGAGATAAACTGGTTTAGGCATTCTTGGTCCTTCCAGTGAGATAACACCAAAAATGTTTCTCAGCTACATCTTTTGCTCACTTGCTTTCTCATTGCACCGCCTACCGCAAAAGCAATGTTTAAAGATAAGTCGGAACAACAGGAATGAGAAAGAACAGGAAGCAACTAGGAACATAATTTTTCAAGAAAGAAAACATTTACTTCCTCACAGCCTCCTATGTTGGTTTTAAGTGAAGCTGCAGCAACCAACATCCTAACACTGTCTCACCTTGACACGTCTTTCCGTTGAGCATGAGCTGATAGCCAGGTGGGCAGAGACACTGGTAGCTTCCAAAGGTATTTTTACACTCATGTTGGCAGGTGTCTCTGTTTGCACACTCATCCACATCTGGGGGGAAAGAGAGCAGAGTGGATAACCACACAAAACAAAGGCGAACTGTGACAGAACCAACAATAAACAGGGTGTTGATAGAAATTAGAAAAACGTCCTGGTGATTTAATACTCATGTGTTTAAAAATGCTCAGAGCTGTTTTCTATCAAGGTCTGTTTTCAATAGAGTCCCATATATAAACTGCACTATTTTATAAAATATGAACATCTGTGTGTAAACACATAGAAGCGGAAATCCCCAAACGGCCAATTTCTCTATTAGTTAAGTAAGGCTGGAATGGCAGACAAACAGGTTTGAATAAGATCCGAAACCACCAAAGCACGAACTCTTGACAGAACAGAATCCCCTAAAAGAGGATATTAGTTTTTATTTTATTTAAACTTTAGCTGCCTCTTCCTCTTTCTCTCCCTGCACCCTCTCCCAAAGCTCATGCATAGCTTTCCCACACACAGATATTATCAAGTGGAGATGCGTTTATTTTTGGGACTACTCATCAAACTTCATATACTTGTTAAGTACGAATGGCAACCATATATCTATACACACACTTTAATAGCTGATTCTATTGTATTTTAAAAATGAAATGTATTTTAATAAACACTGCCTTTATAATTACTCGAAGTGTGTATACATTTTTTGGACACCCTGCATATATATATAATTGCTGTGGTACCTTGTGCAGAGAACTTAACTTCTCAAGATCTCAGATGATTTTTCTGCCAAAAGGAGTCACTGATACAATCTCTCTAGTTTATAGGTTTTGGAAGGTTCATATACAGTAACATATGTGAAAGAATTTTCTAAACTATAAAAATATATCTGTCTGCTATGATTAAGCAAAGCCAAGAAAACAGCAATTAAAAAAGAGAGTAAGACTAGGGGATAATTAAAAATTAATTGATATTTGCTTTCAGGATGAGATGTGATTTGGGAGGCCTCAGATTTCTTGTCCCAATTGTGTTTTGCTTTGAGTAATTTTAAAATTTGCCGACAATCCCCGAGCACACACCAACCAGTGGGAGAATGAGAAGGAGAATGTGACGGGAATTGGGAGTAGGGGTGATGTCAGATGGAAGAAAACAGAAGGCAGATACAAACTTTGAAATGTCTCAGAGCAAAATTTGCATATTTTGCATATTGTGCAAATCAGAATATAATTGCAGTGATTCAAGATCTGTTAATGATAAACAGTCATCAAATATTGGTCAATGTTCTTGTTCTATTTTAGTTAACCAAAGCATCTGTTCCAGAACTTGTGTGATTTACTTTTACTTTGTCCCTTTATAATCTGCTTCCGCCTAAAGTAACAACAGAAATGAAAGTGATGGTGAACTCCACATAGTCAGTATCACAGGTCCCACAGTAAGAATTCTAGTGATTTCTGTATCCAGAAGCCCTGCAATGTACCTTTTTCCTGTGAAGCTTTGGAATCAATTCCTCGAAAAGTTAAATTTTAGCCCAAGTCTAATGATTCCATAATGTTAATCCGAATCTTTGTAAGTTATCTATTCCAGATGGTTAATTAAAGGCATTTGGTGTTTACTGCAAGTTGCTCATCTCGTAATTCCAAAGCTGTCTGCAATCTTGGTGTAAATTTCTTTATTAACACCAACACTATAAAATACTCACCATATTTTAAGAACTATTTCTAAATGTCCCCGTCTATTAACTGCCCTTAGATAAAACTTAAATATCCAATAACTGACTCGTTATAGAAAGTTTACTTTAGGTTTTCCAATATCAGTCCTCATTCTGAAACAGTAGCTGCCTCAAACAGTAGATGGTATGGGAAAGATGAATTACTATAAACATAATATTAGTTTACATAAGGTTATAATAAACACCAAGACACAGAAAACATATATAAGACTCTACCATGATGAAACTACAGGGCACAGATCGTGGTCAAGAAAGAGAATTGGGTTGTTAATGAGGAACACTTTCTTAAAATGACTTGGGCTTTCAGATGATTGAGAAGTCAGCTAGATGGGCGATGGTATGTGTATAGGAGGATAGTGTAATTCATTTATCAAAGCATAAACAAAGAGTTGGAATCGAAGAACAAAGGTAGAAGAGAAAAACTTGTCTAAAATGAAGGCGAAGTATGGGATGATAATAGGATATGAAAACCCTTCAGTGAGGTTATCTGGAAGAAAAAGTGAAAGACAACATGTCAGGTGCTAATTCTGTCCATAAAAGAAGAGTGAAAAGTTTTAACTAGCAAAGAGTCCGTTCAAAACTGTGGGCATGAAAAATTCTTAATATTCAGAAAGATTTGGAGCAAGTTAGGAGTGATGTTTGACGTAGTAGTAAGGATTGTGGAGCCCACAGATTAAGTAGTGCTTCACCGTATGGGACGGAATGTAGAGAGTTGTTAATAAATGCATTAATATTTGAAGTTTAAGGAGTAAAAGAAACTAGTCCTGTCCACAGACCTAGGAAGCTGATCACAGGAAAAAGATTCCATATCCTATTAAGCTTCAGGTACATGAGGACATCTAGACAGAGAAGTCCTGGGAAAATATGGACCTAAAGAAAAAAGGTGAAAGTTTAGAAGTTTGAGGGTCCAGCTGAGTACAAGTGGGGAAAAAAAAAAAAAGGAAAAAACTGGAAGTCAGCTGGAGAAGAAATTTTAAAAATGTTTAAGAGAAATGTTTAACAGAAAGCATATTTAGGAGAGAATAAGCCAAGTGTAGAACACTTAAGAAAAATACAAGAACATACGATTGGCATAGAGGTCTCTTATATTTAAACAGAGGCTCTTAAACTTAAAACAGAATTTCTTCCCTCCCTCCTTGCCTCTGTCTTCCCTCTCTACTTTGCTTTCTTGAACAAATAGTGGGGCTAATTCCTGTTTGCCAACTCCTCTTGGTGCATGCAAACTGTGAACACTCACAGAAAACTGGTTTAAATGAAGGCCAGATGGTAGTACTTGCAACTTCACGGAAAACAAGGTTTCAATTTTTGAGATGGAAATTATGCTTCCCTTTTGCAAACAAATTAAAATTCAGACTTGTGAGTTTAGATAAAGACATCGAAAGCACATACTTTCGGGTGATGGAACCAATTTAATTGGGTCCTGGCTCACATGACCTCTTCAGTGACTTATATACAAAATAATCAAACTGAAAATCTCTATGGCGAGTGTGGGACAACAGTCAACACTGTGCTCGCTGTCATATAGAATAAACAGTGAGTCACTGGAAGCTTCACTTTTAACCACGGCTTTGACATCCATCAGCTGCAGCCATGATTATGGTATTATATTATGGGACAGTATGTATATTCTCTTTTTTAGAAACCGTATTTTGGATGCCACTGAAATTGATTTCTATACAGCATTAAATTTAGTAACACCTGCAGGTGACCAAAGAACTGTCAATATAAAACAGTAAATTATTAGACTGCACACATGCAAACACATCATTTACTTGAATAAAAACTGCAATAGTTTCCGGTGCTAGAGTAAATGCCTTGACGCTTTGAGTCCTCCCAAGATTGGAGATCGGATGTAGCTCCCTGCACCCACACGAACACAGGTGCTGTAGGTACATATGCGTAGACTGGCCCATCAGAGAGCCCCCAGAAAGGTCATGCAAGAGGGCTGACATTTACCTACACAGGTGTCATGGTTTGCCTCAGAGCCTTCAGGGCAAGTTTTCCTAATAGTCCTTCTAGTCCTGGAGAGAGATGTTCTGCTGTTCCTATACTCTGAGTAGGAGCTGTAGAGATGGGAGTACTGTCTGTAATGCTGTTGAGGTTGATAGTTGTTTCTCACGGGGGAGAACCGAGCAAGGTTATAGCTATTGTACTGAGAGCCATAAGCGGGCAGCCTCTCCAATCCAGCGCAAGATTTCCCGTCCCCTAATAAATGTTGTCCTGGTGGACAGACACACTTGAAGCTGCCGGGGGTGTTGAAGCACTGATATGCACAAGGCTTAGGCATTTGTTCACACTCATTAATGTCTGCTCGTGTGCCACGATACATAAAAAAAAGAGAGAGAGAGAAAAAAACAACAACAGACACATACACAAAACACAGGAATAAAGAATCAGTCTGTAAAACGAACTGAAGACATTCTGTCACCCCCCAGAGTCAGGCATTCAGTCAGCTCTCAGCTGTTGTGGACTTTTGAGAAGGCTGGAACCATTCAGTTGTGACTATACAGGAAGATTTTATGACTGTCCCTAAAGATTGCTTCACACGTGCAGTAGAAACATAATGGGTCATATGGACAAATGTGGTCTAGAATCCGGAAAAACTAGAGTTCAAAGCTAATATAGATCTTAATTCTGTTGGTGGAACAGTCACATTACTAATTTGCATTTAATTGTAGTATTGACCACTAGTCTCTCTAAGTTTTCATGCATTCATAAGTCTCAGATACGGGAAGGCTGGTACAACTACAAACATTTTTATTTTCTTTCGTATCTTTTGAATCAATAATTATTAATCAAACCAATTATACATTTTACAAGAAAATGAAAAAGAAGGACATGCAGATAGAATAATTTCTTAATGAGATATAAACTCATAAAGCCCATAAAATTAAAAAATGCTTCTCTTCTTCCTATTCCTAGGTCAACACAGAGTATTACTTGCAATTTTTTTCTGTCAATTGGATAACTATAAAAACCAGAGATCAAAACGAAATTGTTTAATTCATTACCACATGAAGAAAAACATGAATTAAGTAAAATAAGTAGTAAATTTTGCTTTAAAAATTATTTTAGTAGGCAAAAGTTTAAATTAACATTTTTAATCTCTTTAAGGCAATGGCCCTACCTTCTTCATTTTCTTATTGACAAATGCCTGATATTCAACTTCTGGTCAAATTAGTGAACAAGTAAACACATTTCATTCTGCTAGGTCACTGTTATGACTGATCAAGATCTTAAATTATGTATAAGTTACAATATCTAAAGAGAACACAGAAATAGTATGTATTTCTGTTATTAAAAAGTATTAGTATTCATTTATTCTAGTAATGGTATTACTTTGAGCATTTGCTATGTGCAAAGTACTATGTTAGGTACGCTATAAAGACAGAACTCAATCTTTATGGGAGAATTTGCTATAAATAATTGTTAAGTAGGCAACCAAGGCAACCAATTTTAAAAGCATAGCATGCAAACCAGAAGCCAGTATTTAAAAGCCTGCACATTTTTTGCTGCACTTAAATATTCTTAGGATAAATAGAATTTGATAGGTCAGTTTCTTTATTATAAATGCACTAATTTAATAAAAAGCATATGATTATCTTTTCACAGGTATTTCATATTATCTGTTACTTGCCTTACTTTATATTCAATTATAACTAAGATGGAAACAAATAGGCAATTGGGAGAATTAAGTGAGATATTCTTAACGCAGGGAATGCCATACAGTAAGCGCTAAATATATGGCAAATAAAATAATAATGACCAATGTGCTTAAATTGTGTGTTCACATTTTAATCCCTCATACCTAAACCTTGATATTACATACACGTAGACTTCATACTCAAATGAAATATATCTATGAAAACATTTATGCCACGTACATAGAGAGATAATCAATTAGATAATCTTCACAATGAAGCTGTCATGGTAATTATATCAGAACTTTATTTTGGTAGGTGTAGTGTACAGTAGGCACTCTGTACGGGTTATTACTATCACTTGAAGTCAGTGTAAATTGAACTCAATATCAAGTGTCTAAGAAGTACAGTTGACCCTTGAACAACGTGGCGGTTAGGAATGCCAACCTCCATGCAGTCAAAAATCTGTGTATAACTTTTGACTCCTCCAAAACTCAGTCATCCCTCAGTATCTGCAGGGAGATTGGTTTTAGGACCCCGTGGATACCAAAATCCATGGATACTCAAACCCCTGTATAAAATGGCATAGGACAGTGTATCGAGTCCTGCACAACACGAACTACTAGCAGCAGAATGAAAATACTGTCCTCAATCTGCAGTTGGATAAATCCCCAGATGCAAAAGCCAGGAATGCAGAGGGCTGACTGTACATTGATTGAAAAATTTTCAGATACGCGTACCCGTGCAGTTCAAACCCATGTTGTCCAAGGGTCAACTGTTATTCAAATTATGTTATTTGTTAAAGCAAGTTACTAATCTTCTAATTGTAGCAAGAAAGCATATAGAGAGGTCCTACTCAAGTTGGTAAGGCTCAGTAACTTCATTACTCAGTAAGAGTTCCTGGTAACTTACCCACACAGGGTCTTCCCACTCCTTGAGACCGGTAACCTCTTGGACATACACAGCGATAGCTGCCTCTTGTATTCTCACATATCTGGTTATATCTGCACTGATGGGTCCCATCTTTACACTCATCAATATCTACAGACATGGAGGCAATAAAAAGTAGTAACATTTCCTCTTTTAAAACCTGATATTTATTTTTATTTTTAAAAAATATATTTTTATTGATGAGAGAGAGAGAGAGAGAGAGAGAGAGAGAGAGAGATAGAGATGTAAACATTAATGATGAGAGAGAATCACTGACTGGGTGCCTCCTGCATGCTCCCTGCTGGGGATCGAGCCCACAACCCAGGCATGTGCCCTTGACTGGAATCGATCCTGGGACCCTTCAGTCTGCAGGCCTATGCTCTATCCACCGAGCCAAACCAGTGAGGGCTCAAAACCTGATATTTAAAGTGAACTTTCTTTGGAATTGCCAAAGGTTGAATTTCTCATCATGTGGTCGAGACCTGGAGTCAGAGAACCTGGATTCAGGTCCTCACTCTGTCACTTATTAACTGTTTACTTCCTTCCTCTTGCTCCTTACTATGGAAAGAATTCTATTCTCAGCATTTGTTTTTCTTTCCCCTTCTCACTCAAAACTCCCTCCTCCTCTGGCCATTTATATTAGTGACTCTGGTAAGCTTGTTGATGTATATTTAGGGCAACAGTACTATATGGTTTCTTTCCGACAGTCCCACATGCCTAGCTGCTCGCTGGTCATCTCCACCTCCTTGTTTTACCAGTTCTTCAAACTCAACAGGTCCCCAGTGTCTTATCATTACTTCCTTATTTGTGGTCACAGTATTCTTTCTTCACAACCAACCAGGCTGCAAACATCAGAGTTATCTTTAACTTACTCCCTCAGTTTCTAAGATTGGGTAATTCTACTTCCTTCGATCAAATCCACATATCCCCTCTTTCCTTTTCCACTTGCTAGATTTTTGCTGTACCTTTTTAAACGGCCTTCTGATCTTTCAGCTCATCTCATTTCTAATTAACCTTATTATACATAACTACAGAGTCAATGGTCTTAAAATACTTACAATTGCACATAACTGCCTACATGCTCTAAGTTGGCTGCTATTCTTAGGTAGTAAGAAAAATATTCACCTATATCCATAGAACTGAAAAGAGTACAACTCTCCCAGTTTTTTTTAAGTGGTATACTAAACATCTATGTACATCAACAAGTATCAACTGAAGGTCAGTATTCCTTCAGTTATATCTATGCCCTTCCCATACTCTTATATTATTTAGAAGCAAATCCAAGACACGTTGTAACTTTATTAATAACTATTTCATAATTTTATTTTATTTTTTAAAAAATATATTTTATTGATTTTTTTTACAGAGAGGAAGGGAGAGGGATAGAGAGCTAGAAACATTGATGAGAGAGAAACATCGATCAGCTGCCTCCTGCACACTCCCCACTGGGGATGTGCCCGCAACCAAGGCACATGCCCTTGACCGGAATCGAACCTGGGACCCTTCAGTCCGCAGGCTGACACTCTATCCCTTGAGCCAAACCGGTCAGGGCTATTTCATAATTTTAAATAAAGTCCTATTTTTTCAAATGAGAAACTTAAAATCAAATTTCTGTGTCATCTTAAGGGTCATTGAAGGAGAGATAGCTGTCAAGAAAGAAGGATGAATTTTAGCATGTTATCTCCAAGTCCAGCTCTTCTCCCCCTGAGCAGGGCTTTCTTTCCTTCCTTTTCTACCACTCCCACCTGTTGACATTCTCTTCAAGGCTATTTGTAAGTATGACCACTTCCGTGACTCCTCTGATAAGCACTCCTATTACACATGATCACCTGTTCAAGTACTCTCATACCATTTTATTTTGCCTCTTTTGTGGTGTTTCATTCTACCTTGTCTTATAGTTTGTTTCTTTCTTTTGGTGGAGGAAGTGGAGTTGGCAAATCTATCCCAGTAGATTGTAAGAATATAAGAGCAGCAATACTATCTTTTTAATTTTTGTAAATCACGCAATTCATAGTTCTGCTAACAATGGCAGCCTGGGTCAGAATGGGCACGTAAAGAATAAACTTACACAGAAATACAATTTACTTTATTGTCTGGTCATTGATTTGACATTTAAAGAATATTTAGCTCTACAATTATATTTCTAACTTTAAATAAATCCTATGATTTTTTCCCAACCTTCATATGAAATTCTGAACATATATGTTAAATTTCATATTAGAAGTAAAGAGAGACTATTAATTTATGTGCATATTAAACTATATAAACCAAATGTGTAACTGATGGGAACTCAAATGGCCACATGTCTCTATGGTGAGCTTCCATTTCCTGGTATGGATATGACCCCAGAATCCCAGAGGTCAACCATACTAGAAGTTGGGGATGAAAAAAACAAACACCTAAGGTAGGGAAAAAGAAATAGTTCCTTATTAGCTTAAAGGTACTCTAATCATTAGTTTTGAAATGGATGCCTTACTTAGCTTGGCGATGGTAAATGCATCTCAGTCACCAAACTAGCCAGCCACTCACCAATGCAGGTTCCATTTTCCGCCTTGGTCATCCCATTGGGGCAGAGATCAATACACTTGTAGCCGCCACGGGTGTTCTCGCAGTGCTGGTCGGGTCTGCACACGTTCTGGCGACACTCGTTCACATCTTCACAGGGGAACAAAGGGCACGTAGACTGAGAAGATGACTGCGTCAACGTTGCCATAGAAACTATACTTTTAGACTTTTAAGATATTATAGACTAATATAGATGTTGACTGCATAATCATCATGTAAAGTAAAAGTGTTTAAATCCAAGGTATCTGACACAATTATAAAACATAATAATAAAAATCAAAAACATGTCAGAGCTGGCAGCCATACTAACCATTTCCTCCTCCAAGAAAAAAAAGTATACATATCTGTATATACACATATATATGTATACCAATTATTATATTATTTTCCATGTGAACAACTGCAAATCTACTTTTGCCCCATCCTGTGTTATACTTCTGAGAAAAAATTTGGTAAAAGTAATAGGGGAAATGTTTAAAAATGGTTATGTAACCCGTGAAGCATAGCATTTGCTTCCATTTTGTTTTTATAAAGACTATATATACGATGCATGGTAGGTATTCTATCTTTAAATCAGGCTCAGGGCACAGCACATGAACTGGATCAGACACCATTAAGAAGTTACAGAGATACTAGGCTTTCGAATTCAAAGCCCTTTCTTACCCATGCATTTTCTGCCCTTGAGCTGATACCCAGGTTCACACCCACAGTGAAAACTTCCTATGGCATTGAAACAGCGGTGGTGGCAGGGACTGGACTCTTGACATTCATTAATATCTGTTAAATAAAGCAAAACTTTCATTATCTTCTGTTAGGAAACTTGGATGAACTTATCCCAAATATTTGACCTTTGAATACTCTTTGATAATTATTATGTTAAAGATCTTCTCTAAAATGAATTCAACACAATTGCTCTCACATAATCTGCTAGATAAGGGACAGGATTAATTGCTGGAGAGAGTATCTCTCTCTTCAATACTCCCACCTCTGCTAGTGACTCAGAGCTGTGTTGACACAGCACACCTCTCCTTTGAGTACTTTACCATGTGGCTCCCACTCCTGTTTCCAGGAAGCCTCAGCCCTGGAATGTTGCTGACAGACTGGAATACGAAGATAGGAAAAAATAAACTGAAGCTAAGGTCTCCTGCAATACATTTTGCAATTGACCTTTCGTCCTCATTTCTGCTGCTATTCGTGTAAGGCAGGTCTTTATCACCTTATGCCAAACTGACGGCATCAACTTTAGGATTTCGCCAAATCAATCTTCCCGAACACCGTCTGCCTCACAGTGTAACAAAAAAGTGCAGGATGAACTCTCCCCACTCATGTACTGCCTTCTCCCCTCTCCTTCCTTCCAGTCCCAGAGGAGGAGAGAGCTCTTCTCCCATTTAAGAAAAGTCCCCCCCTACTGCAGCCCATCTCTTCCTTTCTCACCAAGATGAGGATTGTGGTCCACTGATAATTCCCTGCTCTTGTGTATTTTAAAGTCCTTCCTACTTACTGTCATCTTTCCCAAAACCCCATAGACACAACCAAATGTTTCCTATCCTAACAAAATCCCTCTCTGAGATTTATACTCATTTCACACTTCTCCATGCCTCTGCCATTCTATTCTAAACTCTTCAAAACAACAATCACCATATTTAGGCTCTTCTTGTCCTTACCTTACCTCCCCAAACTCGAGATTGCTGATGTCTTATTTTGTACTTGTCTTCTATTTGAGAGCTTCTAATTTAATCTTTCAAAATCTGTACATACCCAAATGTGTTCATATAATTTTAAAAAGTTTTCATATACTTTTTTCTTGGCGCCCCCCTTATCCTTTACTCCCTTTCCCACCAAAACCAACCTGTAATAACTATCTAGTACACATGATAACGTCTCTTCCATGTACCCATATATAGTTTTACCTAAGTATATAAATGCATTTTCTTTTTCTTGGTTATTGTTTGTTTTCTAGTCACATAATCTTTTCTACACAAGTTAGACTTTCCTTCACTTTGATGTCCTCAATCAACAACACCTGATGGAAATCCTTTAAGCCAAGTAGTTGAGCTCCATTCTACTCTTTAAAATAGCAGCACAATGGTTCATTTTGTGGATGTACCATAATTAATTCATTTTTTCCTATTATTGATAGGCATTCAGTTTTGCATCCACTGTCTCTGTTTCTATGAAAAATCCTGATAGCAGCTTTACCCATCATTGCTAAAACTTGGAAGCAACCAGGATGTGCTTCAGTAATAAACAGGTAAATACTGTGATACATTCATATGATGAAATATTATTCAGCGCTAAAAAGAAATGAGCTATCAACCCAGGAAAAGACATGGAGGAAACTGACATGCATACCACTAAGTGAAAAAGCCAACCTAAGAAGGCTACATACTATATAGCCTTACATATAGGTTCCACCTATATGACTTTCTGGAAAAGGCAAAACTGTGGAGACAATAAAAATATCAGTGGTTTCCAGAGATTTGGGGGAAGAAGGATGAACAGGTGGAACACAGATTTTTTAGGGCAGGAAAACTATTTGTGTGATATTATAATGGAAGACACATGTCATTATTAATTTGTCCAAGCACATGGAAGGTACAACACCAAGAGTGAACTCCAATGTATATTATGGACTTTGTGTGATAATGATGTGTCCACGCAGGTTAATCCTTGGTGAAAAATGTGCCACTCCAGTGCAGGATATAAATACTGAGGGAGGCCGTGCATGAGTTGGGGCAGGGGTACATGAGAAATATCTTCACCTTTCACTCAATTTTCCTGTGAACCTAAAACTGCTCTAAAAATAGAGACTATTAAAAATAGTCCCACAATAAATATTCTGTAGTCTGATGCAATGGAGTTCAATAAAATAGATTTTATTAGATCATGCCGTATAATTTCCTCTCTCTCAAAT